CGAACGTCAGCTCCTCCTCTGACTCCACGAAGTAAAGGGACTGCAACCTCTCGAGGAAGGTCTTCACGTTCATGCGGGAGGCGCCGTGGTAGTTGTCGAGCAACGTGAACATGTGGTCCTTGCGGCGCACGTACTCGACGTCTCTTCGGCCGCGTTTGCAGGAACAAGAAGTCGTATATCTTGTTCCGCTTCCTCGCACTCAACTTGAACCACATGTCCGTCTTGTTGTTCCACGCTCGAGCCCGAGTCTCGGTGACGACCATGAACTCGCAATTGTGGGCACCCGAATTGACCTCGCTTTTGACGAGATCAATTGTAAATTGCAAGATCTCGGAGTTCCCTTCCATCGCGATGACGTGTCGTCCTGCCTTCAGTACTTCCCAGACTGACCGCGCGTGTGGCTTCCCGAGGAAGACGACACCCTCCCCCTTCTTGGTGATGGATTCGAGAAGCTGAACGAATTGGGCGGGGTTGCGTTCCATGTCCCCGTACATAATTCCCCGACGTGCAGGCGAGGTATGCGACCAGCCGCAAGCGTTGAATGGGATGTCGGATACATTCGTTTGCGTAACCTTCTGTGGTACCCGCACTGCAGCAGCGGCGCCTGCCGGCAGTTTCCCCTCGTAGACGACGGACGTGTTGGCCCGCAAATCGTCGCCTTTGAAGAGTATGTACATCCGGTCGTCTTCCGTGTACAAATTGTTCCCGACGGGGAAGCTTCTTCTGTTGACTATTCCTCACCCACTTCCCTTCCAGCAGCTTGACGAAAGAAAGATGGTTCATGCTGGCCAGAAAGACGAGGTTCTGCTGCCGCGGGACAAAAACAACGAGCGTCCAATGCGACGGACACCACATCTGGAGTTGGGAATTCAGAGTGTCGAACGCTTGCGATTTCCAAAGCTTCAGGTCCACCGGTTCGCACAGATCGAGGACGAACGTGTGACTCTTTGTAGCAACCACTGCCTCCTTCACCTCCGCACTCCTTATATCTGACTCCAAGGGTTCGTTGCCGAATGGCGCGATGGATGTCACGTCGCCCATGTCATTCCATTTTATGTGCACAATGTCTTCGGCGAGCGTGATCTCTCGACTCTTCAGTCTACTGCAAGTCAACATGGACAGGACCTTATTCCTCCAGTCGACGGACAACTTCTTGTGACCGGCCAGCTTCTCCGTCGCCTCGATCGATCTATCGCCGTCGCAGCCCATGTAGGGCGGGCAGTCCTTGAACAACGAGGAGTCAGTGACGTATTTCGTGCTCCCGTCCCACAACTCAACATCCAAACCACGACTCTCAAACTGTCTGAAAATTGCGGACCTTGATTTCAGGAACGGGAACCTCTGGCTCCAATCCGCGTCCGACCTTTTGTCGTGCTTGAACTGGTAGTAGTTCCACAGACGCACCAGCACTCGGTCCCACTTCACCAAATTCACCACCTCCTGGACGCTCAGCTTCCCGAGCTTCGCCAACGCTGGGGAGCCGGCCTGTACCCAAACCACCTCGCAAGCGAGCACCTTCTTCAGGACGCGGCACTTCTTGTTGTCTGTCAGCGACTCCATCGTTTTCCAACAATGCGCGTCCGACTCTGGCACTTGCACGAACCACTCACCCTCCTCTTTCTCCTTTTTGCCTTTCTTTGATGGCGGTTCCACAGGGACGTTGTACACGACCTCCTTCCTGCCCAGCTTGTCATTATGGATGTATGCAACCCCAGGCTTCACATTTTTGACTTTCTTCTTCCGCATGATCCACTTTGCGCCGTCGTGTCCAAGCAATCTGCCTGTCTCCCATTTTTCGAAAAACTCGACAGCCAGTTTCCAGACGTTCTTCCCTGCCATCGCCAGAGGGAAATAGGAACGCAGGGTAGAGCCTTGTTTCCTGATGGCCTCCTCGCCCTGCTGATCTGCGAGAATCTAGAAGTTGTTGTGCGCTGTCATGTTGAGTGCGACATTACAGAATTCACGCCACTTCCGGACCTGATCCTGTTTTCCGATGGGGTTCCCCATAACAGCACGCGGGCAACCGGCGCGCTTCCACTGCCACCTAATGTCCCTCATTGACAGCTTCAGCTGTCGTGGGGGCGCCTTCAGGTCCTTCTTGTTGTCCTGGGAACTGACAAGGAAGTACCCTTCGAAGTCATCGTCCGAAAAGTAGACCATTCGTGCAAACCACCGCTCGAAATTGTATTTCCTGGCCACCTCGCTGCCGAGCAGCGACCTCGCTGCAGCCGCGTTGTGCTGCCCACACACCGCGTAGTAGTAGTATTGTCCCGCCAGCTCATCCCTCCAATCCTTCGGTCTCAGACGTTTTGCCCTGGTCCCCGGAGTCGGTTTATCAAGCCCCAGCGGCGTCAGTTTCAGGGTTGGTAAATCGTAAGACTGTGCTTTGTTTTCGAACGCCAACTGCATCGCTTCTTTGATCCCTTCCACGAGCACGGGATCCAGGGACTGCTGCTTGTACAGGTCCTCCCAGTCCCCGAGGTCGACGACCTGCGCAGGGCTAATGTCGAACTCCCGATTTGTCCGAACGCCGTCTTTGTATTCGAGGAAGTACCCGGCGTCGACGTGGATGGGAGTCCCTGTTGTCGGTGGAGAAGACGGTCCAGTCTCAGGCTGCTTCTGTCTCGAAGACGGTCGTTTGGCAACCTGCCGGCCCTGCTCCCCCTCGGTCCCCTTGCATTTCTCCCCCGCAGTCCTGGGGGCCTTGCTCTTTAACTTCTTCGTAGAATCGGCGAACTCGTCTGGACGATCCCCCCTCCTCTTTTGCGGAGCTCCTTGCGAGCCTAGGCCTCCCGCGTCCACCTCCTCCACACCCTGTCCTTTGCTCGCCTCGAAGTCAACCTCCGAATAGGCCGCCACGTGTACTGCAGGCCCCGTACTCTTTCGCTGAACAGGAGCATCAGTCTGAACCCCAGGAATAGACAACACAGACCGCCGCGTGTCACTCAACGGCGGAGCAGTCCCCTCATCCTCGCTGTCGTCGAACTGACCTCGGCTCTCGCCACGGTGCAGCTGAGTGGCGGGACCAGAACCCAGATCACCGCCCTCCGCCCCTGCCCCGCTTGACTCGCAACCACTGCATAGCTTCAAGGGCAACGACAGCTCCAGGGATGGGTTGACGTCGCAGGGGACGTCTAGAGCGATGTTTTTGTCCTCCAACATGTCGAAAAATTCACGCGCCAAAACAAAAWCGCCCCCGAGAACGAGTTCTCTGTAGAACGGGGTGTTCACAGCACCCGCTCCGAACCCCTCACACAATTCGAGGTCCAACAACGTCCCTTTCGAATTGGCAACGACGTTGCCCTTGGCGCCATAAACTTTCTGCATATAGAAATGTCGTCGGTCCCCCTTTGCGTCCTCCCACCGCAAGACGACACCAAGCACTCTACGCCTTCTGCTGTCATTGATGAAGATGACAGGACCACATGGCTGCGCAGTGGGTTGGAAGCGTCTCCACAGCACCAGTCGATGAACCATTTCGACCTCGAATGGTCCGACCACCCCTGCGTGGCAGTAGACGACCGCCTCGTGGAATCTTTTCGTGATTCCTTCCCGGAGGTCCCTGTTGGCTCCACCTCGCCCTTGGAAGAAGACATACTGTCTGCGAACGACAACGCAAATCGAACAGCACACCATGAAGTCAACGTCTGTCAAAACATAGGAGAAACAGAACACTCGCTGCCGCACGTCAACGCAGGCTGCAGCGCAGCGAAAGCCGCACACGAAGACACCCGGGCACCCAAATTCGGAACAGTGAGAAGGGGTAGTCCACCGGGATCCGAACTTCAAGCGGGCAAGAGACCGAGAGGCAGAGAGAGAGATAGAAGCAAGTGAAAACTCGCAGTGCGCATGGGATCACACGCTGTTTATGCGGCACACGGGGCACCCCGAAGAACAAATACAGACAAACGCACAGTGAAAATCGCGAAGTCTGCCGGGATCCGAACAAAAGGACGGTGCGTGAGATAGAGACGGTGGAAGCAGATTTCGGGAATTTTTCGCAGGAATCAACTGGCGGTCATGTTCGAAGCTCGCGCTCGATGGGGTAGTGTTCCCGACACTCCAACAGCAGAAGCTCGCCGGGAGCCGAACCAGAACAGAGAGGCAGCCATGCAGCCAGCGTCCCAGAACCGTGCTCGACCAAACGCACTCTGGAACCGTTGCCGGGCGGGTTGTGCAACCCACCCGGAACCACGAAGACTCACGACAAAGCAACACACCTCCCGAAACGTGAAGTTCGCCGGGATCCGAACTTCAGAACGATGCGACAGGCAGAAACGGCGTCTCGGACACACGATCCGCAAGTCTAAGGTTGTTAAACTCAAACCCGACCCAGGAAGGCCACACCGGAATGAAAGGCTGGCTGAAATGGAGGAGTCCAGGGACCTACGAAATGTTGACACGGCTGTCGCTTTCGAGCTTGGGTCCATCCAGTGCCAAGCTGTGCATAACGCGAGATCGAAAATTGGAGTAGTTCGGATTAGGGCGGACTTTGGCTGTTGCCAGAATCCACGAAGGATCCGGAAGACCACCGTCTGTGGCAATAGACAGGCAACTCCTGAAGTTCGCCGGGATCCGAACTTCAGGAGGACGCGAGAAAGAGAGACAGAGAGAAACATCCAAAGGCGCACAAGGAACAACCCCGGGGTTCCACAGCCGACCGCAGGTTTCGATGGCAGCAGTCATCGAGTCCAGGCGTAATTGGTAGCACGACCGTTTCCGACTCCGCTCAGCACTCAAAGCTCGGAGGCCGGTAGGACGCATAGGCCAAACCGCGAAGTTCGCCGGGATCCGAACTTCAAGAGGGCGCGACATGGAAAGAGACGGCGTGCACTAGCAACTGCTGCCTCCCGCGTCTTTCTCCACTGCTAAAACTCTGCTATGTTCGGCAGCACACAAGCCTCTCACTCGTCTCCCTTTTTTTCGCTTAAGCAGGATGTCCAACCACACGTCCAGATCTTGTGACAATCGCGGTTCCTCGGGGACGAGGTCGAGAACCGTAGCCATATAAAGCATTCATTGACGATCCGTAAACGCGGACCAGCAGATCGTCGACCGTTGCAGTTTCCGAAAAGACGGACATGTATTTCATCCTATCAAACACTCCCGGTCGTGCTAAGGAGTTCCCTATACAGTCCCGTATGGCGGACACTTTCTCCTCGACCTCCCTAAGCAACGAAAAGTTTTGGACCGGGCCTGCTATAACCAAATCTCGCCACCCATCTACACGTTCAGGCCCGGGCGTCGGCACGAATTTGGACCCCTCGATTGCCACCTCGTTGCGTGATACAAGCACAACTGCATCGACGAGTTTTCTGCTCTTGTTCGACGCAGCGACACATAGAACTCTGACAAAATCAGACCCGGACACAGTCAATCGCACACAACAGTATGACACAACTTGTGGAGAATTCCCGGGGCACCGGAGCGGGTACTGACCCAGGAACGAGCAGTGACGAGCGCAGTCCAACAACTCTTGTTTCCGCGAGCCTCCCCAAGTTCGTGGCGACGAGCTGACGTAGTGGCATTCGAGGCGGCTGAAATGGCGGCTAATGCAGCCTTGCGCTCTACGCATGTGGTTCAGGAACTTGTGTTCGAGGACAGCGTTAAACAACGGGATGAGGTTCCCGAACTCCAACATGTTGGCGAATTTGTACTGGCTTGCCCAAGGGCAGCGACTCTCCATCGTGGCCTAATTCCCATCGCACCAATCGTCAATATGCGCGTCCCTGCATGGGACGACGGTCATCCTGAGGTCCTCGTCGAAGTCCTCTGCGGTCGCTCCGTGGATCGTAGTCACACCGTTGACATGCCGCACTGATCTCGCGCAAGGAGGAAACGGTTATGCCAAGCGAATGTGCGTTTGGGGACTCATGGTTTGTGGTGTCAAGAAGTTCGACTCAAAGATTTGTGGTGTCGAGAACGTCCCATCCATTACGCGCCCTACACACCACGCGCAAATACCAAACGACACACACGGGGACGCTGACACTCGTAAACATAGTTGGCGAGCAATCAAACGACATAGGTCCCTCGCTGTGGTTGTGCACTGGGGTTGGAATGCGAGTTGGGTTTTACGAAAGGCAAGAACATGAAGTTCGCTGGGATCCGAACTTGGCGGAATGCCGTGGGAGAGATACAGCTGTTTATCAAACTCGCCTTTCCATTCTTTCCTAAAGTTCGGATTCCGGCGGACTTCACATTTTCACAGGTCCATCGTTGTGGTTGTGAACCGGGGTTGCAACTCGAGTTGGGTTTTACGAAAGGCAAGAACCTGAAGTTCGCCGGGATCCGTACTTCGCGAAATGTCGTGGGAGAGAAGTAGTTGTCTGTCAAACTCGCCTTTCCATTCTTTCTTGAAGTTCGGATCCCGACGTACTTCAAATTTTGACAGGTCCAGTGTTGTTATTGTGCACTGGGGTTGCAACTCGAGTTGGGTTTTACGAAAGGCGAGAACCTGAAGTTCGTCGGGATCCGTACTTGGCGAAACGCGGTGGGAGAGAAACAATTGTCTATCAAACTCGCCTTCCCCTCTTTCTTGAAGTTCGGATTCCAGCGGACTTCACATTTTCACAGGTCGACCGTTGTGGTTGCCCGCTGGGGTTGCACCGCGTGTTGGGTCTTGCAGAAGGCGTGAACCGGAGGTCCACCGGGATCTGAGTTTGGCGAAATTACGTGGGAGAGACACAGATGTCTATCAAACTCGCCTTCCCGTGCTTTCTTGAAGTTCGGATCCCGGCGGACTCCACATTTTCACAGGTCCCCCGCTGTCGTGTGGTGGCTGCAAAAAGTTCGTCGTTGGATGACCGACAAGGTTCGATGACCGATGAGGTTTGCCGTCCACTGGCGTTCGATGTCCGCCAACATTTCGATGCCCGCCGAGATTTGATGGGGTGCCAGGTTCGATGCCAAACAAGGTTCGATGGCCGACAAGGTTCGATGGCCAGCAACGTTCGATGTGCAACAACGTCGTCACGAACTGTCTTTTGTCCATTCTCGAACAGGGATCGACCTTTTTCACTGGTTTTTACCGTGTGGTGGACCAATTGCCCTGCATGCTGCGTACGACCAATGGACGAGGAGGCAGGTTGAATGCAGTGCAATCGGGGCGAGAAAAGTGAACCGCTCGGCTGGCATGTCGGTGCCCTGGTCGGCGACCAGGCCGATCAATCAGCTAGTTGGCCAACCAGCTAATTGGCCAACCACAAACCGAAAAGTCGATCAATCAACTAATCAAGTACTTGTGCCAACGCTCTCCTGTCAACCAGTTTGCTGGATCGGTGGTACACCTGCCGGTTGGGCGATCGCGCTGAGGGTGATGCCACGGTTGCAACGCAAACACACGTTCGATTATGTGGTTGGTGGACTGCTGGATCAACCGGTCGTCCGACCGCAGTCCGAACAGTCATTCAGTGATGTTGGTAGTGGTGGATCTATTGACCAGTCTACTGTTCGCTCGGGGTACATCAACGAGTGTGATGGATCGGTCGCTCGCCGCCAGGTTGGTCGTTCGCGCACAGTGCCACGTGTGTTTTGTTATTACATTTGATACTGGCGAAAAACACACACGCGGTGACAACGTTGAGACAGCACAAGCGATCAATCGACCGATCGCGAGCGCTCTGTTCGTGTTCGGCGATTGGTCGACTGGGTGCGTCTAGTATCCCGACAATGTCACCTCCTGCTTTAATTGATCATCCATTCGGCAGATCAGCGGCGGTATCGTGATCAATCGTGATGGTCCTGTTCATCACTCACGTGCGATATGGCCGATGTCACCACTCACGTGTGGATGATTGATCTGATGAGTGGAGAAAGATCCGATCTGCCGCGCAGTTATTATGTTTCGTGACCGGTCGCCTCGTGCTTGATCGAAGCTTTCATCATGCATCAGTTACTCAGCTCATGAGAACTGCCCAATGAACGGCCGATCGAAACACGCGGTGACAATGTCGAGAGTGATCTGATCGTGCTCCATCGATCTGGACTGCATATAATCAAGGGATATTATCTACCTTGTGCTCTGGACTGTCTATAATCAATAATGAATACTATCAAATCAAGGAATGTTGTCTATCTACCCATCTATTGTATCTCTGTCACCGCATGTTTCGATTAATCATCCTTTGGGAAGATCGGCGGCTACTGCGTTGGGACAGCAAACAGGAACAATGGAATGTGGTCAGTGGTCAGGATGTGATGAACTGACGAATGCTGATAGCTCCGATCGAACGGGTTGTGGTCCTTCACGAAACATAATCACCCCGTGGTCGATCGGATGTTTCTCCATTCATTAGTTTCATACACAATAAGATCACATGAGATCCACACACAAACGTGTGGATCTCGTGTGCTCTTGTTGTGTATGAAAATGATGAACGGAGAAACATCCGATCGAGCGCGGGGTGTTTATGTTTCGTGACTGGCCACAGCGCGTTCGATCGGAGCTATCGGCATTCATCAGTTCATCACATCCTGACCATTGACCACACTCCATTGTTCCTGCTTGATGTTTGAATGTCGTAGCCCTCGACCTGCCCAAAGTGTGATTGGTCGAACCACGCGGCAACAGAGATACAATGGATGGATAAATGGACAACAGATTACAGTTCTTCACTAGAGCGTACGGAATCGCCGGATATTACGCAAGCATGTCGCTCAACGCCAGAATACAGCAGGAGTACCCTCGGGATGCGAAACAATTCATTCAACCATGGCCGCACACCTTGGCGATAACCTCCGCGCGTTCAATCGGTGAAACAACACACACGCACACGAACAGACACACACACACACACACAAGCACACACACACGCACACACGCCGCGTACACAAACACGCCCCTCAAGTAGAGACACTACATACGCAAACCCGAAAAAAAAACACTCGAACACACAATCAACTGCACGCGCACATGCAAAGACACACTCGTCACGCACAAGCAAACACAAACACAACCGCATGCGCACATGCAAACACACACTCGTCACGCACAAGCAAACACAACCGCACGCACACATGCAAACACACACTCGTCCAAACAGCGCTGATGTGTCAGCAGAAAAGCCGCCCACAAGCGCTCACAGAAACACACACGTCCCGGGTTCGTGAGCACTCACCTTGTGAGAGTGTCGAGTGAAGATGCGTGCGGATCCCGTCGTCGATCGAGACAGGAATGCTGCGACCTTGTGCCGTGCGCTTTGTGTTGGCGATGGTAATGCGTGGAGCGTCGGATGCGCTGATCCAGAATCGAGATGTCGTTGTTGAGTCGACGGGATGTCGACACGTGACGTCAAAGATGACGCGGGCAGCGACTAGGGAGGTGGAGGGAGATGCGTCGTAGAAAAGGTGGCGACCAGGGTTTAGAACGGTTGTCCGTTCGCTTCGCTACCTATGGTGCTCCAGCTGGGCGGGGCGATGGTGTTGACAACAATGGTGGTGCGAGGCGTCCGTTTGGCAGCATCTACCCAGCAAAAAACGCAGAAAGCGGCGTTCACGCCCCAGGCGCTGCTCGTATTTGTAGGCGCGCGTGGGTCGGGTCCCCTTCGGGTCTTCCATTTCGGAGTGCCTCGCAGGGTCCGTTTGACGCCGCGACATGTTGGCCACACGTCGTTCCACGCATCGAACGGTGGCCACACGTCAAATTTCCCGCTAGGGGGGACCCGGTGCGAGCGACATGGCAAAAAAAAGTCCCTTCGAACAGGGCCTTCTTGGGCGTCATGGAAAAGGGCCGTCGTCCCTGGCCCCTTGCGTTCTTGTGTTCGCGTTCGCGGGCCCCGCCAAAGGGGTTTTCGGGCTGCACGGGGGGGGGTGTTTTTCGGTATGCGTCTGGAGGGTTTTGGGGG